GCACATCGTCCTTGCTGAGGGCCCAGGTAGGAGATTTGTACCATAGGGCCGCCAGTATCACACTATTGATCACTAATGCCCTTCCGATAAGGGAGGTCTGACGGTCCTTCCAGCGCGGTAGTTTCTCCAACGCAGGTTTCAGGATCCACTCATCATTCGATGCAGGTTTACCTAGTGCCGTCAGCATAATTCCCAGCACTCTGATCGGGGCCGTTTCTGGGAGCCATTTGACCTGCAGGAGCTCGGGGGGGCGCGTCCCTTGGTGGTGAATCCACCATCGCAGGGTTTTGTTTCCCCAATTAACAGTCGTATCGGAGACTGCTGTAAACCGGTTGAATAATCATGTGATATCTTCCATGTTTGTTGCAGTTGCATCGACTCGTCTGCAAACATCGAACAGATCGGGATTGTTTCTTCCAATATAGTCGAGATCTGGAATTTCCCGGGTCTTTGTTGGCGCGGAGGTTTGCTGCCAACGCCTCCATTATGATAATAAACAGGAAGGGTGCCAAAGGGTCCCCTTGGCGGACCGACCGTTGCAGCGGGAAGGCCGACGCTATCCTTCCATTGACCTGGACACATATGGTTGCGTTGTGGTGGAGTATTTCAGTCCATCGCCGGAAGACTGACCCTATATTCATTTTTTCCATACATCTGTCTAGGAAAAGCCAGTCCATGTAGTCATAAGCTTTTTCAAAGTCTATGAAGATGACTGCCGCTTTTTGTTTGTCCTGTCTTGTTAGCTTAAGTATTTCATTAACTAATAGTATGTTATCCTGTATCCTTCGCCCCTTTATGAACCCAGTTTGTGTCAGGTGGATAATATCCTCCAGGACCGGGAGTAATTGATTTGCTAAAGTCTTCGCTAACATTTTATAGACCACGATGAGCAGGGTTATTGGCGTGTAACTATGCATATCCATCTTGTCTCCCTTTTTGTGGAACAAGGTGAGAACTCCCTGTCCCACCAACTCCCCCATTCTCCCTGTTTCCCACACTTGTTGATAGAAATCCATGAGGTCCGGGGCCCTATGAGTTCAGAAGGTCTCCCAGAATTCCTTTGGAAACCCATCTATGCCCAGCGTCTTCTCTTCTTCCATCTGCATCATCGCCGTCCATATTTCATCTTTGGACAGGGGTCAATCCAGATCTACTTTTTGCTGTCCCGTCAGGGACTTCTCCAATGGTTCATAGAATTCATGTATTTCTTTCTCTCTAGCATTTCTTTCTTGTCGGGCACATCTGGAGGTGAACAGGTCTTGGTAAAGGCTCTTGCTATCTGTGTATAGTGTGGGGTGGAGGTGGCGATATCCTGGTGACCAGTGTGTGGATCTTATAATGCCTCGATGGTTGTTCTGTGCGAACCCGCGCGGACCATGCTGATTTTTTTTTTTATCCATTGTGCCTTCGGTATAGTATCTTGTTAATCGTCCTCTGATTCGTGTTCCTTCTCATCAATGTATGGCGAAAAACTGGAGTTATTGCCTCAGTGTTTGTATTTCTGGATGATCCTCAGGTTGCTCTTGGTGTTCGAGTTACTGTAGTTGTTGGTGAATTTCCATTTCCTGCTGGTGCTTTCTTGCTGCTAGTAGTTTAGAATATTCGCCGCATTTTTTACCCAAATATAATAGTCCATTGTTAAACCAGTCTATTGACTGTTGGAAGTGCTGCTTTTGCAAGTGCCAGTACGCCGCGCCCGCCAAAAACGACAGTTGTACAAGATTAAGGACGCGATCCAGTCAGAGCCCAGTTCCCAGCGCAGCAAGATGCGCGCAAGTGCGGCGCAACAAAGTTAACCGTTCGTAAATTCCTAGCCTAAGTCCTAATTGCAAAAGGAAATTCCGAAAAAGGGAAAAACAATTCCGCGAGCCCATGGGGGCTTGTTGTCAGTTGAAAATTCAAAAACGATATTCCCGCGCGATGATCGCGCCAAAAATCCCAGTGCTCACAGCAGAACAAGAAAGAAGCTATGGTACAGTTATTTCTTGTGCTCGCTAAGGCGCGGCTACCCAACCGTTGGCACCGGATCTTCCCGACACCGATCCGACATTCCCAACAGAAAACGAAAAAGAAACGAGGACATCCATGCAATTTTCCCGCCCGACCCATCTTTCCGCAACTCACCCATCCGACCCGTCGTGTTCCCCCAAGCAGCTTCGCACAAAAAGTCGCGCGATTACAACAGATGGTTCGTCACAACCGTGTGTTTTTTGAACCACTCTGCTTGGATGCATGCCAGATCACGGTCAACAACGACCTTGATGTAGTCCTCTCCTACCTCTACTGTACTTGGTGCAAGCTTCTGTGGTAGAATTCCATCATTAAAACATGCACTCAGTAAGTCATTAATACGGATTCTATCTGCGTCTGATGGCGGGGCGGACATCATGGGGTTAGCTGAGGATGATGCCATCGCATTGGATGTTGATAACAACAGCCCAGGTGCTAAATTCAAAGCCACAAGTAGGAGATAAGTTAGACTTAGCTTTAAGATGAACTGAACTGAATAACGGGTCTGAAATCAGGTTGCTCGTGGCTCAGCAACACGTTTATACCTTCCTCTCAAACCTCTGCATCATTCTTCCATGTCGTGGCAGCGTGTGTCTGGCTGTAGTCGCGATACCCCTCCTGGTATTCGCTAATCCAGCCACCGCTCTCTTTGTAGGTCATGCCAAGCCTAAACCTTGCCTCCACACCTAGGGTTCGCCACTTCTCCTAGCCCTGTAGTTCCCCTCCCAGGTATTGGCTATGGTGAAGGAGTGACTCTCTCGGTATTACCGAGATGGTCCATGGTGGAATCCTACTGTTCTCTGACCCTCTCGGTATTACCGAGATGGTCCATGGTGGAACCCTACTCTTCTCTGACCGTGTCCCCGAGGTGCCCGGCCTCTGGACCCGTGCCACTTCCGGGCATGCGCTCCTCTTCAGCTAACGCTTCGCTCCGTTACGCCGCAGCCGCCAGCACCCCATGTTCTATTCTCATTTTGCAAATCGTGAAAAGGCGCTACCGGTACCCCCGAGGTTTTTGACGTCGGGGCGCTGCGAATAGAGATGCGTCCGCGCGAAAACGTGGGAAAAGAGTCCGTTAGAATTGAAACGACACGGCCACTAAAGGCCCGATCTGGAGAAAGAAAAGACACAGAAGATAACGAAGAAGATTAACGACAAGGGCATGATACACAATGTGCCAAAAGAAAAAGAAAAACAAAAAGAAAAGTGTGAGCGTTCCCGCCATCGCACGTGTAACTGGAAAAATTGTCCAAATCGAGAAAACGAAACTCCTGGGAAAGTACCTGCCTGTGGCTGTCTGCCGCCCACATGGCAGTCGATCAAACACGTCAGGAGTGCCATTTTTCTCATTAGCCCTCTGTACTTTTCCGGTGCGCTACGTCACTCTGCTTGCGGTCACGGATCGTTCGGAGTAGCTCCCGCTCAGAAGAGATGCCGACGTCGGCCGGAGGTCGGTATCACGAGGCGACTCGACACTGCTCTATGTGGAGTCTTTCCAAGTCGTCGCGGCGCATCTTCACCAGGAGGAGGAAGCCATTACCTGCCGGCAGACATGGGCGGCGGGATGAAGGGGGTGGGTTGAGGCGCGGGTGGGGGGGGGATCTTGGTGTTCCGCCGCCGCCGTGTCCCCCTCTGCCGTGTTCGCCGCCGCATTTTTGTTTCGGCGGGGAGCGTTGCAATCATGGGGAATAAAGTATGTGGGGGAGGAGGTTTGTGATGCGTATGTCTAAGGGCACGCTCACACTAGGTACCAAATCCCCATTTTCCCCCAAAAAAAGGGTTCCCGGACAGACACATGGTGAACATCTGCCCAAATTCTCAAAAGGGGTGACCATTTGTCAGCGGCCTGCGAAGCCGCGGGGGAAGGAAATTTGCGGTGACCTCCGGAGGTTACCGCAATTTCTCAAATCTTTTTCCGAATTACCGTGAAAAATTGGAGAAAAAATGGAACCCCACGATATTAGCGGCCTATCAATTGAAGAAAAGGAAATTTGGGGAAATGGGTGCACGCACGGAGCGGTCAGACGCGCGGAGCACGAGCAGAGAGGTTCGTATGGACACCCGTTGCCAGCAGTAACGACCCAAAAAAAAAAGAAGGAAAAAACAGATTATAAAAACTGAACAATTGCATTTCCCATTTGAGGTACCACCGTGTGACCGGCGCCCTCCACAAGCACCTCGCAGAGAGCGATGTCGCGACCTTGTCGTTAGCGTATTGGTAACACAGTGTGACCGGCCAGGGCCACATTTCCTCAAAACGGCCGTTCCTATTTTCCCATTTTTTTGGGAATTTGGGTACCTAGTGTGAGCGTGCCCTAATAAGGAAGGAGGTGGAAAGGATATGGGGCCTCGCTGCACTACTCTCGACATGCACAAAAGACAAAAATCATGGCCGTGCATCTTGCCGTATTCTAGCGGAAGATTCACTCTGGTTTTGCACATTTTGAGAGTGGTGCAGCGAGGCCCATGCTCGCGATCTCTGTTGGCTGTTCACGAGTCAAAATGTGAATGAATCTTCCGCTGGACCATGGGAAGATACACCCGTCACAATGCAATCAGATCTGCTCCGTGCCAGGTATGTGACGCCCGTCACTCTCTCTCTCTCTCTCTCTCTCTCTCTTAGTGCTTACTCTCGCTTCCTTCTAGAACACGATCACCCAAACGACGACGAAGAGCACGTTGAGCACCCTRACCAKCACGTTTACAGTGGTCACGAGGAAGAGCAAAGACCAGAGTGACGGAGGAAGCCGTGATCATGACGAGAGCGAAGCCTCCTAYARCAAGTCGCTGACGAAACGGGTGAGGTGGCGATCCCGACTGTAGCAGCGGACCCCAGACGTGCTAGATGAGAATGAATCTTCCTCTAGAACATGGGAAGATATACCAACCGTCAGAACAGTTCGCAACGAGCACGGCCACAGCGGTTGAGTAGCTGCCTTTAAGTATTGGCGGGTGTCCGTCGCTGTGGCAATTGTGCTTGCAAAGGGGAGCGGGAGGAAGAAGGCAACCGCTAGTTCGCTGTTCAGAACTTATGTCTAATTAGGAAGGAGGGGAGGAGGATTTGTTCGCTATGTCCATTGGCTTTTCACGAGTGGGTGATAAGCTGCCTTTAGGTGTTGGGGGTTGTCCTTCGCTGTGGCAATTGTGCTTTCAAAGGGGAGCGGGAGGAAGAACGCAAGCAGCAATTCGCTGTTCAGATCTGCTTCTCCCGCTCAAGAACTCGCTCCGTTCCCAATTCCCACCACCTTGCTGTCGCGTGAGTAGGTTGCGGATCGACTGTGCGCATCATCAGCAGCAGGCGCTAATGGCGGTGGAGGCGATCGAGACGAACGGCTGGACAGGAGAGCGATGTCAACTGACTGTCAAGTATCCTCCTCCTCCTCCTCTTCCTCCCCGATCTCCTGCTTGTGACCCGCATTTTGTGGACAAATTCGCGTCATTAGCTTGCATCTTACAGGCCGTGCACGATGCGCGCATATTCGATGATGCGAAAACAATCATCGACATGCCTTTGAATGCCCCCTTGGAGGAGATTTTGGAGGCGTTCTCAAGGCTGCCCGTTGCCGATGACGGAAGGAGCGTCTGCGTGGGCAGTCTGAAGTCTTTCCTGGAAGAGCACTTTTCTCCCGCCGGGAGCGATTTACAGCCCTGCCGCCCTGCGGACTACGTCGAAGACCCTGTCGATTTCTTGCCTGATGTTGAAGATGAGAGGGTGAGGAAATGGGCGCTCGATATTCATCGATTCTGGCTGCGGCTGTGCCGACGTGTATCCGATCGGGTGCGCATCGCCCCTCTCCAACACACCCTTCTTCCTCTACCCCATCCTGTTCTAATCCCCGGGGAGCGCTTTCGGGAGGTGTATTACTGGGACTCGTACTGGACGATCAAAGGTCTGCTGGTTAGCAAGATGGAGAAGACGGCTTCGGGGGTGGTGGAGAACCTGATAGAGATTGGGAGGAGGGTCGGTTTTGTGCCTAATGGCGCCCGCTCGTACTACTTGAACAGAAGTCAACCGCCGATGCTGAGCCGGATGGTGAGGGAGGTCTTCGAAGCGACTGGCGATCAGTCCCTGGTACTTAAGGCCCTGCCTGTCCTCCAGCAAGAGCACGAGTATTGGACTACGTGGCCCCACGGCGTCTCGATCGAGGACGAGTGCGGGCAGATCCACTCTCTGAGTCGGTATCATGCTCTGTGGAACCAGCCACGGCCTGAGGAGCATGGCACCGACAGGGAAACTGCCGGGGGAATGACCGAGCTCGCCGCTGCACAGTTTTATTGCGACGTCGCCTCTGCTGCGGAATCGGGATGGGACTTCAGCTCGCGATGGTGCGAAGACCCGCTCGATCTGCGCACGCTGCGCACGACGCGCATCGTCCCCGCGGACTTGAATGGGCTGTTATTCCAAATGGAGATGGACGTGGCGTTTCTCGCTGGCGCGGTGAATGCGCCCACCGTGGCGGCGGAGTTTTCGGATGCCGCTGCGCGCCGTTGCGCCGCCATCGACTCCCTGCTGTGGAACGAAGAGAAGAGTCAGTGGTTCGATCTCCTTCTCCTAGATAAGGACGAGGATGATAAGGTGAATGGCATGGAGCGATGGAGAAGGAACCAGCACCTGCGTGTAGGAGGAAGGGAGAGGGCGGCGGCAGGCGATGAGATTTCCCTCCTTGGTTCTCTCGAGGACAATGACGACGACGACGATGCTGATGCTGATGCCGCTGCTGCTGATGATGTGGTGCATGACACGATCAATCGTTCCCGTCAGCAGGGAAGGGTGTTTCGCGATGCGTGCCAGACCGATCAGGTCTACGCTTCCAATTTCGTTCCCCTCTGGTGTCGACTAATCAGCCATGACAAAGAACGAGTTCGCAGAGTTATTCGAGCGCTAGAGATGTCTGACCTTATCCATCCAGGTGGCATTGCCACGTCACTAGTCCACTCCGGCGAGCAATGGGATTTTCCCAACGCGTGGGCTCCTCTTCAAGATATGATTATTTGTGGATTGGCAGAGTCCAGGACGGTAGAGGGAAAGCGCCTTGCTCGGGAGTTGTCCGGTCGTTGGCTTCGATCGAATCTCGTGGCGTTTGAGAAGACGGGCCACATGCACGAAAAATATGATGTGCGTGCCGTTGGGGCCGTAGGGGGTGGGGGAGAGTACACACCCCAGGTCGGCTTCGGCTGGAGCAATGGAGTCGCCCTTTCCCTTCTGAAAAGGTTCGGGACCACCACCAGTTGGCTGTTGTATAGTGACGACGACGACCAGGTAGTTGAAGTACTTGAAGAAGAAGAAGAGAAGGTTCTATAGGGAGGAAGAAATCATCTCTACCTTCTTCACCCGAATAGAACACCCGCCCATTAAAGCTGCATTTGGGTTAACTTTTCTGTCCAGATGCCACAGCTTTAATGACCTGGCGTTCTATTCGAGTGAAGACGGTAGTTCCTTGGGCGTTCTATTCGAGTGAAGACGGTAGTTCCTTGGGTGTTCTATTCGAGTGAAGACGGTAGTTCCTTGGGTGTTCTATTCGAGTGAAGACGGTAGTTCCTTGGGCGTTCTATTCGAGTGAAGACGGTAGTTCCTTGGGCGTTCTATTCGAGTGAAGACGGTAGTTCCTTGGGCGTTCTATTCGAGTGAAGACGGTAGTTCCTTGGGCGTTCTATTCGAGCAACGGAGTTTTAAACCTCTCCCTCCGGAAAGAGGACCGAACCACGAGTTGTGGCTGTACATTAAGGACGAAGACCGAGTAGCTGATCTTGAAGAAGACGACGATACGTTCGATCGCGAGGAAGAAAGACATTTCGAGTTGTTTTATAGGTATATATTCAGTTCGTGTCATTATTTTGATATTCAATTCGTGTCATTATTTTGATATTCAATTCGTGTCATTATTTTGATATTCAATTCGTGTCATTATTTTGATATTCAATTCGTGTCATTATTTTGCTCTCTGTGGTCATGACTATCTTCAAGTTCCGGTGTTTGTTTTCGTAGTTTTGTCGAAATTGTGATATTGCTTAGGTATTTAAGTAGCGTGGTATCATTCCGTTGGCATCGTAGTACCGCAAGTTCTCGTGATTGCAGTGTGTGGCTTTTCTGTGAGGGTGTATGGTTCCGCGAAGGTCACTAGCGTTGTGTGGGCTTTTCTGTTAAGACGTATGATGGTGTGTCCGCTTCGTTCTGCAGAGGTCACTTCTCGAGTGAAATTGGAGATCCTTGATTCGACGTCCACATGAAGTAATCTGAAACTCTTTCGCTTCTTTTCTTTCTTTTTTTTTTTTTTTTTGGTGGTTATAATTGCATTCGGTGCCTTTCTGTGAGGGTGCTTGGTGTGCCCTCTTCGTTGTCCAAAGGTCGCTTTCTCGAACGATATTTCTGCAGATCTTTGATATGACGTCTTCATAAATCAATCTGAACTCCCTTGCTTCTCGTGACTGCATTGTGTGCCTTTTCTGTGGTGGTGTGCGGTGTCTCCTCCAAAGGTCACTTTCTTTAGTTAATTTGAAATTATATTTGATATGAGGCGGGTTGGTACCTGCGCCCTTGAGCTGAAATGCCAACTGCCTACCCTGAACTTGTACTGGGCGGTGCTTTTATGTGGGAATCGTCCTTTTATGTTTTTTGTCCCAGCACGAATGGTTTACAAATGGGGATACCAACTTCTTGATGACGAACAAGGCCATCTGCTGTATATAGATATGTAATCTGGGATTTCTCTTTTTTTGCAGACAAGAGTTTTGTCCTGGGTGGTCTTGTCCCGTCGTTTGGCCTGTGAAGGAGGGCCGGTGCTTGCATGTGGGACTTGTCATCTAGGATCTGTTTTCGGTGCTGTTGCTTGATGCCCCCTGTTTTGGTGTATTTGGCTGTTCCCTTCCTCTTTTCTTTGCCTCTTTGCCCTTTGGCTGTGTGCAAGTGGGTCGATATGACACACGGGGGTCGGGGCAGCCGCCGCTCAATCTACATCCATGTGGGTGGCCTTGTACAACCTACATCCACGTGGGCGGCCTTGTACGCAAGAGGTTCTGAACAGGGGGAGTTGTAAGGGAGAAGATAAAAAATGAATTGATATCTTTTTTGTTTCCTTTTGTTTTTTTTTCGCTTTTGCGCTCTGATATTCATGTGACGATATATATATATATATATATATATGGTCCTCCGGGTTCTTTTTGGTATCCTAGTTGGTTGCTTCCCGTTGTTCGGCCTATCAATGGGGGTGGTGCTTTTATGTGGGAATCATCATCTAGGATTGTTTTTTATGATGTCCCGGTACGAATTGCTTACGATGACGCCGAATAGGAATACCAACTTCTTGATGTCAAACAAGGCCATCTGCTGTGTATAGGTATGTATCTGGGACTTTTTTTGATTTCTTTGCAGACAAGAATGTTTTGACATCCTGGTTGGTCTTGTCCCGTCGTTTGGCCTGTGTAGGACTGGGGCGGTGCTTGCATGTGGGAATTGTCATCTGGGATCTGTTTTGTTGTCCTCTGTTCTGTTTTATTTGGCTGTTCCCTTCCTCTTTTCTTTGCCTCTTTGCCTTTTGGCTGTGTTCAAGTGGGTCGATATGACACACGGGGGTGGGGGCAGCCGCCGCTCAACCTACATCCATGTGGGCGGCCTTGTACGCAAGAGGTTCTGAACAGGGGGAGTTATAAGGAAGAAGATAAAAATTCTTTTTCTCTTTTTTTCTTTTTCTTCGCTTTTGCGCTCTGATATTCTTGTCACAATATATATTATATCGTCAATTAGAACTGCCCGGTAAACCATAGGCAGAGAGGGAGAAGAGGACAACAACCGAGGGTGTCCTTTCGGACATCCGTTAAAATTGGAACGATACAGAGAAGATTAGCATGGCCCCTGCGCAATGATGACACGCATAAATCGAGAAATGGTCCAAATTATTATAAAAAAAAAAACAAACAAACGAGGGGCTATTTGACGATATATATATATATATATGTCTGGAGTGTATTTTTTGGCTGTGACAGACCTTTCTTTGTTTCGTGGATGTTTTGCTGGCTTGTGATGGGGTGTGAACCGACAGTCTGTAGAGTTTTCCATCTGGTGTGGGTGAGTGATAGTCTACTTTGATTTTGGTTAAGGTAGATTATCATTTACAGTGTAATCAGTGAGGGGATTCTGCAGACTGTTGAGGGTTCAGCCTCCTGATGAGTCGGTGAAACTCCGACGAAACAGTTTGTCACAGCCCCTCGTTTGTTGTCCTCTTCTCTCTCTCTGCCTACGGTTTACTGTCGGCAGTTCTATTTGTGACGATGTATATATATATATCGTCAAATAGAACTGCATATATATATATGCCCTTTCCTTGGCCCTCTTCCTCATTCTACACTCCATATTTTCCCTCTTCCATTCTTTGTTTGTCCTCTCTCTGTCTCTTTTCCCTGTGTTTAACACCTTCCCCTTCACTCTGCCTCTCTCACAGCGTGCAAGTGGGCTGTTATGGCATACGGGGATGGGGGCAGCTCGCGCTCAACTTCATCAACRTGGCGAGCCTTGCACGTGAGAGGCACAGTGGAGGTGGAGTTCAAAGAAGAATGAGAAATTTAATGGTTTCAATCTGCCCTTGCTTTTTCTTTTTGTTTTTGTTTTTATTTTTGCAATGTGCCCATTTTTTGTTTTTATTCTTTGTTTCGCAAAGTGCACTCTTTTAGTTTGTAGTTATGTGACAATATATATATACATATCAGAGCTGCCCGGTGATCTGAATCCTTATGCTGTCGTGTAGCATTGTCTTCATTGTTCAGCATTGGAATTGTAATGAAGATTCCCCGACATCGTAGCATGGTATTATGAAGATATCCGGACATTGTGGCGCAGTATTCCTCTTTTCTCTCTTTTTTTTTCCCGCCCGTCCTCATTGCAAGTTGGAGGCGATATCCAACGTTTTGAGTAGGCCGTATCCATCTTTTTGAGTAGGGCCATCCTCGTTGTGTGATTGGACAGAAGATTGAAGTTGGTTTAATTGCTCTTTCTTATCTTTGAAAAAGGGTTGGAGGCCCCTTTTCTTCTTTTCTGAAGCATCTAAGGAATAAGAGTAAGATGGCCCAATGCCCAAGGCTACATTTTGGAAGTAATTATAGCGGAGTAGAGCTTTGACTTTCGATTGGTGATCCAAACTCGGGGTAAAGTCCCACTACGGTAGCCGTGGTTCAAACTTGAGTTCGAGTATGCAGCCGCCGTTCCTGCCATCCTCGAAAGGACGACTACAGGAAAACTGAATCCCCCACGACTGTCTTCCCCGAACGTATGCACGTGTTGTAAACGAATACAACGCATAGGTTGCTTTCTTTGAATACGATGCACATGCGTTCTTTTTGAACAGCTGGGATATACACCGCATACGTTCTATTGGGATCATTTCTGAAAACTCGAATACAATGCATATGTGTTAGCGGGACTTAGGGCCTCATCCCACCCTAATTACGGTAAGTAGAAGTAAAAAAGAAACGAAAAAGAAGGGGCCACAGCATTTGGACCGTGAAAGAAAATTTGTACTCCACCGTCCCGTTATTGCAGGAGATATTACATGGGTGGCGGCGGTCTTTGTGTGGCTGCGGCCTTTTTTGGACGAACCTGGCCAGGTAACGGGCAAAAAAGATAAGAGAAAGAAAACGTGAAAACACGCCATCCTTTTGGGAACAGGGTACAGGCCCGTTCCTTTTCCGAAAACGGCAAAACGGAGCTCCCGGAGTTTACTCCACGAACGCCACGTCCTAAACTGTTTTCACAATCCTCCGTTCACATTGGAGCCCCCGGGGTTCAAGGAAGCCGGTGGGATACCAAGAAAATGGATATTTTACTTACCGTAAGTATGGTGGGATGAGACCCTTAGCCATGGAGAAGCATGTTTGTTTGTCAATTTTTCAAAAAGTTATATTCTTCTCTCAGTTTCACCTTTCACTATCTACCTACCACCACTCCTAAGCCTATACAGGGGGGAGGTCCCACTAGCAAAGGGGATCGGATCGAATGCCTGAATCTGGACGAGTTTATGGAGATGTGCATGAAATCGAGATTGAACTGCTTTTCTGCATCTGTGCTTAAAACACATCCAGATTCAGGAGCTCGATCCTATCCTTATTGCTAGTGGGACCTCGGCAGGGGAGAGGTAGCTATGCTTGCAGGAGAAGTACGATTATCATGGCCTGATTTTTAATCATGGCCTGATTTTTAAATACTGAAAGATGTGGCGCAGATGAATGCAATCTTTTTCTTTTTTTTTTCCCTGAATGCAATCTTGTCAACGCCACATAGGAGGACCGGCCCCGGGCCTATGGTACACACCACAGCCTTGGCGTACCAGACCCAAGGGAGCTTTGAAATTTCCGAGTACTTAATCCGGATTTCAGCTATGAAAAAAGTTCAAAAAACTTCCTATGAAAAAACTTGCGAATAAAATCAGGATGCCCCTTTGGCCGTATATGTTTCCCTGGCCCTAGGAGGGGAGCTACAGGGGCATACTCGAAATTTGGAACAGGTACCGGTAGGGGCATATTGAACACATTTCAGGCCCAAACGGTTTTTCGGAATCTTCGATCGTTGTCAGAGGGGCCGACAGGGTATATTTCCCATCAGAGGGGCATGACGCCCCGCAAATAAATTGGGTTGGATCCACCCGAGGGTGGGTAGCCTAAACCGTATGTGTTCATATAGTCCGTAGACTATTCCCGTCCTTATCGAGGGAGATGCTAACCTTCTCTCGGCTCAACGAACGCAAATACATTGCACTTTCAGGGGCATACCGAAAAAAATTCATAAAAAGGAAAGAAAGTGGTGCGGCCCTTGAATAATATTCGCAGTACCAATGGGCTCAATTGGTATGCAGACCGAAGTTCGAATCCAGATGCAATCTTTTTTTTTTTTTAATAATGGGAAACAAGGCTCCAATCTATTCGTGGGGAGCAGCACGTGCTGGGAACCGGGCCCAGCGTCCCATATGGAAATGTACATATGATTTTGAAGATTGAGGTTCCGGGGCCATTACCCGGCTTTGGCTCAGAAAAAATCGAAGCTACTTCGGTCCGACAGAATGAAATAATTCGTGGGAATTACCTGTCGCGGTCATGATGACACCTCAAGGTCGCTGTCCACAGAGAAAGGGGAAAAAAAAACAATTCCGCCAAAGTGAATGCATATTTGAAGCGCGGCAGGGCTCAGGATTTTGACTGTATCTGGACCATCTTTTCAAATTATTTATAACAACAATGTTGGGTGGTTGACCGAGGGAGCATCGCCAACCGCCACACCATCTTTCCAACTTACGGGAGATCGAATCGCCGCGACCGGACAATGGGCCTCTTTCCACACCCATTGGAAATTGCTGTTTTTCAAGGAAGCGTTCGAGCCAGCCCTAATCACGCACCCTTGAAGTCGCTAATTGTTTCCACATCCCCGGGGCCAAGT